TCATGAGGAACCTGTACATAGAGTAAGAATCTCATTAGAACGGAACAAAGGGATACTGACTGGCTGATAACAGGAAAGGTGTGTGGCAGGGATGTAACCTTTTACCACATTTACCCAATCTGTATGCTGAACAAATACACATGATAAACATGGCATCAGAACTGGAAAAAGATGAACAACCTGTGATATGCAGATGACACAGCTTTGCCTGCTGAGAACAAAGGGACTTAAACTACTTACTGCTGGTCAAAGACTACAACCTTCAATATGGTTTGCCTGTTAATAATTAAGAAAAGAAAAATCCTTATAACTGAACCAATAAATAACATCATGATAAATGGAGAAATGTCTGACGTTCTCAAAGACCTCTTTTTTCCTGTATCCATGGTCAACAATCATGGAAGCAGCAGTCAAGAAATCAAATGACATATTGCATTAGGCAAATCATCTGCAGAAGATCATTTCAAAGTGTTAAAGAGCAAAGGTATCAGTTTGAGGACTCAAGTGCACAAGACCCAAGCTATGGAATTTTCAACAGCCTTATATGTATGTGAAAGTTGGAAAATTAATAAGGAAGACTGCATTAGAATCGATGCATTTGAATTACGGTGTTGGAGAAGAATATTAAAAGTACCATGGACTGCCAGAAGAACAAACAAATCTGTGTTGGAAGAGGTACAGCCAGAGTTCTCCTTAGGAGCCAGGATGGCAAGATGTCATCTCCCATACGTTGGACACGTTATCAGGAGGGATGAGTCCCTGGAGAAGGCTATCATGTTTGGTAAAGTGGAAGGTGGATGAAAAAGAAGAACACCCCCAACAAGATGGACTGACAGTGGTAGCAGCAATATTTCAAACACAACTGTGAGGATGGTGCAGGACTGGGCAATATGTCCTTTCGTTATGCATAGGATTGCTATAAGTTGAAACTGACTTGATAACACTTAACTATTATTTGAAATACTTGACAATTACTTTAGACTGTAGATAAACATTTCTTCACTGAAAGTGTCTTTAAAATCTCAGTTAATTCTAAAAGGTTTATTTTTTATATGGAAATATAATTGCTTTTATACGTATTGTTGTTGTGAAGTGCCGTCGAGTCGGTTCCGACCCATAGCGACCCTGTACAGGGTTTCCAAGGGTGTAATGTGGAGGAATTTTGGTTTTGAGCATTCCCTTTGAAATTTTATACATGCAAATCCTTCTAACTGGCCACATATATATGTGTGTGTTTGTGTGTGAGAGAGTTGGTTTATACCTTTTTTTCTTTATTTCAATATTATTCTTTGAGATATTAGGATTTCAATGATAAAAGATGGTATCTAGAAACTACTGGTCTTGTTTTCAGTCTTTTCTTTCAAAACCAATGTTGAATTTATCTGGTTCCAATGAGAAGAGCATGTGGCTGGCAGGAAAAGAATAAATGGGTCATATTGAGTCCTGGTGTGGCGCTGCAGGCTAATGCAGACTGCAAGGTCGGCTTGAACCATAAGGTTAGCGGTTCAAGCTCACCAACCACTCCTCGGAAACCATGTACAGGGTCACTATGGGTTGGAACTGACTCAAAAGCACTTACCAACAACAATACTGAGAATTTATAAAATGGTAGAGAGACAAAAAGACTACAGCTAGGAAACTACACTTATAAATGATGAAAACACTTCATTTAGTCAAACCATATCACATTTCTATAAATCAAGACTCTAGAAATTGACAGACATTTCAACACTATGTAAACAAATGTAGATGTGAAGCTATGCAGGATTTACAATAAAAACAGTTACCATTGAGTTAATTCTAACTCATAATGACGCCATGTGTGTCAGAGTAGATCTGTGCTCTCGAGGGTTTTCAATGTCTAATTTTTCAGAAGTAGATCACCAGGTCTTTCTTCTGAGGTACCCCTTGTTGCTGTTGTTAAGTGCCATCAAGTCAGTTCCAACCCATAGCAACCCTGTATAAGGTTTCCAAGGAGCGACTGGTGAGCTTGAACCACCAACCCTATGGTTCAAATGACTCTGCAGTCCAGCGTATTAGCCCACAGCGCCATACCAGGAGGTAGACTCAGTGAACCCCTATTACTTATCTCCTAACTTCAACAATTGGTGTGGCGCCAATTAGGGTTAATGTGTTGGACTCCAAGGTTCATTTGAACCGCAAAGCTGGTGGTTCAAGCTCTCCAGCCACTGCTCAGAAACCTTATACAGGGTCGCTATGAGTCAGAACAGACTCGACGACACTTGACGACGACAACAGCTTCAACAATTACCAGCCCATGGTCAGTCTTGTGTCCGCTACGCTCTCGCATACTTCTCATACTTCTCCATACTTTTTGAACCAGAAGGGACTTTTGAGATTATGGAGCTCAGCTGCCTCATTTTAGAACTGAGCACTAAACTCAGTTCCAAAAAAGTCAAATGATTTGCCCTGAGATCAAACAATACTATAAGAAAGAAAGGAGGAATCTCAGAGTCATGGTGATCGGCAAAGCCAGATTCTGCAGAGAGCCTGTGAGAGGTGGGGCCCACAAAAAAGTTTCTGGATTTGAGCAAAAGGGACTCTGGCTTCTCCAGTCTGCACCACTGGTAACACCTTCCTTCCGCTGTCATTAGTTACCATTGTGAAACACTGTTGTTGTTGTGCCATCGAGTCGGTTCCGACTCACAGTGAGTGACCCCCGTATAGGGTTTCTGAGGAGCAGCTGATGGTTTGAACTGCTGACCTTGTGATTCGCAATCCAGTGCTGATCTTACAGGGCTACACCAGGAGTCCACTCAGAAACACTGGTGGTGGTGGTTTTGTGCTGCAGAGTTGGTTCCAGGGCTGTAAATCTCTATGGGAGCAGAAAGCCTCATCTTTCTCCCACTGAACAGCTGGTGGTTTCGGAATGCTGATCTTCACGTTAGCAACCCGATTCTAAGCACTACGCTGCCAGAGCTCCACTAGTGGCAAACAATTCCCGACCTCCACTTTTGAATATCTTCCCATTCCATCAGGACAATTTTCAATTAATCCCAAAGTTACTGAGAGCCAATGTTCCAGACACAGGGAATACAGAGCTGTTCTGAACAAGCAACAGACTATCCTTCCTTCACAAAGATTATACTCCAGTTGGGAGCAGATCATAAACAGGTATATAAATAAAGAGACTATACTAATCATAAGGAGCTCTGGCAGCGTAGTGGTTACGAATCGGGCTGCGAACCTTAAGGTCAGCGGTTCGAAACTACCAGCCGCTCCGCGGGAGAAAGATGAGGCTTTCTACTCCTGTAAAGATTTACACCCTCGGAAACCCTGTACAGGGTCGCTATGGGTCGGAACCGACTCGACGGCACTTAACAACAACAATACTAATCATAAGGAGCTCTGGCAGCAGTGCTTACGAATCGTTCTGCTAACCTCAAGGTCATCCTGCGGGAGAAAGAAGAGACCTTCTGCTCTCATAAAGATTTACAGCCTCGGAAACCAATACAGGGTCTCTATGAATCAGAACCACCACCACACTAATCATGTTGTTTATTGTTGTTAAGTGCCATCGAGTTGGTTCCAACCCAGTGACCCTGTATAGGGTTTCCGAGGAGCAGCTGTTGAGCTTGAACCGCCGACCTTGCAGTTCACGCAGTTTAGCAGTCTGGCGCATTAACCCACAGCGCCACACCAGGATTCCATACTAATCATGTTAAGTTGTTGCTGTTAAGTGCCGTAGTAGAGTCGGTTCGGACCCACAGCGACCCTGTAGAGTTTCCAAGGAGTGACTGGTGAGCTTGAACCACCAATGCTCAAACCGACTTTACAGGGGAGTCGGTTCCGACTCATAGCAACCCTGTACAGCGTTTCTGAGGCTGTCAATCTTTACAGGAGCAGAAAGCCTCATCTTTCGCCCGCGGAACAGCTGGTAGTTTCGAACTGCTGACCCTGAAGTTCACAGTCTGATTCGTAACCACTACGCTACCAGAGCTCCTTAGTCTAATCATAGTCTTTGTTTATGATCTGCTCCCAACTAGAACACTATACTAATCATGGGCTCCTGGTGTGACAATGTAGGATAAGCAGCAACATATTTATCATGGATTCCTGCTGTAGCGCTGTAGGATCAGTACTGGACCGCGAACCAAAAGGTCAGCGATTCAAACCCACCAGCTGCTCCTTGGAAACCCTGTACAGGGTTGCTCTGAGTCAGAAATGACTCGATGACCCTGAACAACAACATGCGAATCATGAAGAGGAGGCGCTGGTGATTCAGTAGTCAAAGTGATTGGCTGCTTACCTATGGGTGGGCAGTTGGAACCCACCACTTGGGTGCAAGACTGAGGTATCTGCTTTAAGTCAAGATTTATAGTCTTGGAAACTCCCCAGGGCAGTTCTATTTCGTCTTGCTCGACAAGTCTGAGAGGGATTACTGGACCACAGTGGGGATCAATCAGGCTGAAAGAAGCCGTGATGAGAAGCCCAAGCACTCTTAGATAGAGGGCTCACGGTGGGCGGCACGGAAAAGATGCCATTTGAGTTAAGATCTCACGTATGAGAATTCAGGCTTGATAGGAGCCATGGCAGGGAACATTCGAGCTTGGACAGACACTTGTCCCTTCGGGTGGGAGTGTCCTATCAGGGACCACTCCTGGCCTGCAGTCTGCATCATTACCATCATTATCCACATGCCCAGAGAGGATCATGGATTCCCAGTGGGAACAGACCGCTGCTTTTTTCATTACAAGTCAAAAACCCGGAAAGGAATTCCTGCCCTCTCGCCTTGGCCACCACCTGCTGATAAAGCTCAAGCCCCAGGCACCGTCGCTTCCCAAGTGCGAGAGAAAGCGCAAATAGTGCGGATCACACGGATCACAGTACAAGACATGACCCAAGCCACTTGCTCCCATCCCGTACCCAGCCGACCTCCCCAAGGGCTCCCAAGGTTGCAGACAGCCGGAACCACGGTCACACACGTGGCAAAAAGGAGAGAATTTTTCCCGTGGTCGTGGCCGAGACGCCTTCAATACCTGTCAGGAGGCGTGAGGAGAGAGTATGTGAGGATGCGGCCATCATGCAAGCGACTGGCCGCTCCCGGAATCCCCGTGTCCTCTCTCCTCACCGGCTCCTGGGCGCCGCCATCTTCCTTTCCCGCCCCAGTGGGAGGAGAGAGGGTTCCTGTTCGTCAGTTCCGGTGGGCGGGCCTCTGGGGGGCAGGGGTGGGAAGTTGTGACCGGAGGCGATTCTGACCTGAGTGTGGGCATTAATGGTTAGACGTGCAATATTTTCGGAAAGACAGCGGCTAGGTGTGGCTTTGTCTTTCTTAAGAAACGCTGCTCACGAACGGTAGACTTGCGCTTCCTACTCCTAGAGGTTGGCCGCCCCTCTGCTTATTTACGGGCATCTTCTGAACTGCTCTGATGCCCCCAAGAACCTCCAGCGATAGGCAGGGCTTGGCAGCGGGTAATTCACAATTACATTTAGGACATTTTCTGGTGAACAAAAAGTCACTGAGTGTTCACTTTCCATGGGGAAGAGCGGGTTCCATTCCTAGTCAGGTGGCTGCTACACCCGGGCTGTCAGTACAGGCTGTGATGCAGGACAGTGAAGGCCTGGCAAGCTGCTTCTGAAAATCAGCCAATGGAACCCTATGGAGCATAGCTTGCCTGTTCCCAAACAGCAGCAACTGGTGATTGGAGTGTCAATGACACTTCCGCTGTCTTGTCTGATCAGTTACAATTTTATTAAATTTGCTGTCAAACGAGAGGACCTGTGACCCAGAGGCCACACCAAGGGGGCTGGATCATCAGAACATATTGAGATGAAGATGATAGTACCGTGCATGTACAATGTAAGATTTCTGGTTCTGAAGTTGGAACTCTATTTCAGTCCTGACTCAGTCTCCTGGTCTTTTGACCTTGCCTGAGCTAATTACTTATATTCGCAGAGCTGCCCTTTTCTACCAGTACATTGGGGTTAAGAATAATATATGTTTTACAACATAGTTGAGATAATACATAATAAACCACATATACCCACCAAAAACCAAACCCCTGCCAGCGAGTTGCTTCTGACTCAAAGTGACCCTATCTGTCAGAATAGAATTGCTCTTTAGGGTTTCAGAGTTGAAACCTTTCCTGAAGCAGACAGCTTCATCTTTCTCCTGCAGAGTGGCTGGTAGGTTTGAACCATAGACCTTACGGTTAGCAACCCAACGCCTAACTCAGATTACCAACAGGGCTCCTTTCTACCACATGTTGTTGTTAAGTGCTGCCATATCGGTTCCGACTCATAGCAAGCCTGTATGGAGTTTCCAAGGAGCAGCTTAGAACCACCAACCCTGCAGATAACAGTCCAGTGCTTATCCTACAGCACCACACCAGGGCTCTTTTACACTTTTGTTGTTTTTAAATGCCATCATACAAACATTAATAAATTGTTGTTATCATTAGTGTGATGTCAGCACCCCTCCCTTTATCTCTTTTTTCATTGTAGGGTTCCACAAGTAAAAGTGAAAAGAGTCAGCTTAAAAAAGAAAAAATAATTGGGTTCTTTAAGACCAATTTCTGTGTGTTTTCAAGGATAAGGTGATAGCCATTTTGATCCAACTCAGTTACTATTGATTGCTAGGTACAGCAGATACTGAGAGGAATGAGACACTTCTGAGTCTATGGGAACTTAGAAGATTGATATTTGTGGGTAATTGATAATTATCTGAGACAATGTGAAAAGGGTACTATAGAATGTGCTGCAGAACCCCCAGATTACATAATATTTCTGTGTAGTTGGGTGAAGGAAGACTTCAGAGATTTAAACTTTGTACTTAGTAGATGGAATGGTAGGTATTTTCCCAGCACATAAGGAAGGAAAATAATGCACCATGAAGAGAAAATAGCATTAAATAATGTGTTAAAATCTTCAAATTCTTTATAATTCTCTGAGTTCTTTTCTAAACATCTGATGCAGTCTTTAACATCAAAACCAAAAGCTGTTCTCTTATGAAATCTCTTTACTAAGGTGGAAGGAATTCCTGGGAAGGTGCAATTCATTAACTTGCTCTGCTGTTAACTGAAAGATTGAAGGTTCAAGGCCACCCTGAAACACCTTGGAAGAAAGCACTGGTAAGCAATTTCCAAAAACGTAGCCATTAAAAACTCTATGGAGGAGAGTACTCTGACCCAACTCGTGTCAAAGCCAAAATTCACTAGGTGGCAACTGGTTTGGTTTGGTTATTTAGTAAGGCTCAAAGAGTACTAAGTGATCTTCCTAAAGTCTAGAACTAAGACCAGAATCTCTGATAATTTTTATAGCACTATTTACACTATGTCCTATGGAATAAGGAAGGCCACAGAAGAATTGATGCATGTGAGTTATGGTGTTGGTAAAGAACATTGGAAGCACCGTGGACTGTCAGAAGAACAAACAAATCTGTGTTGGAAGAAGTACAGTCAGAGTGCTCCTTAGAAGTTAGGATGGTGAGCCTTCATCTGTCATACTTCTGATAGGATTTTAGGAGGGACCAGACCCTGAAGAATGACATCATGTTTGGTAAAGTGGCGTGTAATGCAAAAAAGAGGAAGACGTCCAGCGAGATGAATTGGCACAGTGGCAGCAGCGATGGGCTCAAGCAATTATGAGGATGGTGCAGAACTGGGCAGTGTTTTGTTCTATTGTTAATAAGGTCACTATGAGTCATAACAGCACCTAACAACAACATATGATTTCATTCACCTAAGTATCTTGAAGAGTCATGTTGTGGTTATTATTGTTGCTAAGTGCCTTCGAGTCTGTTCAGATTCACAGCAACCCTGTATAGGGTTTCCAAGGAGTGGCTGGTGAGCTTGAACTGCCGACCTTGCAGTCCAGCTCATTAACCCGCAGCAACACAACAGGACTCCAAGGATCTTAAAGAGTCATGGCGTCTCTGATTTATAAAGGATGGTATTTCAACCTTGGTTGCCTTTCAGGATTTGTATGAGGGGGCTTCAAGAAGTTCTGGGGAAAATTCCATTGTCTTTTAATTCTATTTTGCCACAATTTTTTTTTAACTCCCTCGTACATGACTGGGCCACATCCAGACTTATTGAATGAGGAGGGAGAGGGCTTAATGGAAAGGAACATTTTAAAAGCACACCAGGTGAATTTGATACTCAGAACTGGAAAGGATTGGATTGTAGGTTTTACTTCACAACACAATTATGTTCACAGCGTTGATTAACGTGAATGTTACATTTCATACATTCAGAAAATGTGACTGTTCAAGTTCTCTAGTTTTATAGACAACAAGCTTAAAAGTTGTGTACTTCCTTTGTTTTTGTTGTTAAGTGCCATCATGTCAGTTCTGACTCTTAGCAACCCTATAAAGAGTCTCCAAGGAGTGGCTAATGAGTTTGAACCACTGACCTTGCAGTCCAGTGCGTTATCTCGCAGTTCTACACCAAGACTTGAAGGCATACACTCTTGGAAAGTAATCCCTGGTTATAGTTCTGATAAGAAGTTTCCATGTTCAAATACATGAAGGAGTCATCACTGATCAGATGCCCTTGGTGGAGCTTCAAAATGTCCTCATGAATTACAGGCATTAAGAAAGTCCACATTATGCCAACAACAATAAAATAGGTTAACTTTTGTATCAGTTAGGCAGCTAATGCCAATTAAATTACACAGAACAGAGCAGAAAATTTATGTGGTTTAGACAAACAGGGTTTGATTTTCTTATCCAATGAAAAGTCCTCAGAATTTTCAAGGCTGACGCTTTGTTCTCATGTCCTTGCTGTACTGGTCACAAAGTGCATCTTCAGCCACATGTCTGCATTCAGGCATGAGACAGGGATGGTTAAGGCATGTTGTTGACTGGTTTTGCGTTGTTTTATCAGGAGGGCCAAGGTCACCCCAGGACCCTCACCCCAGAACTATACAGACTTCCACTTAGTTCTCATTGGTCAGAACTTGGTGATTTGATTACCCATAGCTACAAGGGAAGCTGACAAAACAGACAGCAGGATTGTGTGGATTAGCTCAGGCCAATTATAATCCATCCATGGACCTAGACATTGTTGTTAGGTGCCATCGAGTCAGCTCCAATGAATAACAGAAAAATACACTGTCTGGTCCTGTATCATCCTCACAATTTGTGTTATGCTTGAGCCCATTACTGCTTCCACTCTGCCAGTCCATCTCATCTTCCTCTTTTCGCTGACCCTTTACTTTATCAAACATGATGTCATTCTCCAGGAGAGATAATGTCCAAAATATGAAAAATAAAGTCTCTCCACCCTGGCTTCTAAGGAACATTCTAGCTGTAATTTTTCTAACAGAGATTTGTTTGCTTTTTTGGTAGCCCATGGTACTTTTGATATATTTCACCAACACCATAACTCAAATGAATTAATTTTACTATGGTCATCCTTTTTGATTGTCCAACGTTCACGTGCATATGAGGGTATGGAAAATACCATGGCTTGGGTCAGGCACACCTTAGTCTCCAAACTAATATCTTTACTCTTGAACACTTTAAAGAGATCTTGTGCAGAAGCTTTGCCTAATGCAATACATCGTTTGATTTCCTGACTGCTACTTCCATGAGTGTTGATCGTAGATCCAAGGAAAATGAAGTCTTTGACAACTTCAGTGATGTTATCTATTGGTCCAGTTGGGAGGATTTTTGTTTTCTTTACATTGAGGTGCAATCCATACAAAGGCTGTAGTCTTTGCTCTTGACCAGTAAGTATTTTAAGTCCTCTTAGTTTCTAGCAACAAGGTTATATTATCTGCATATCACAAGTTATTAATGAATCTTCCTTCTGTCCTGATGCTATGTTCTTCTTCACACAATCCAACTTCTTGAATTATTTGCTCAGCATACAGATTGAGTAAATATGGTGAAAAGATACAAGCCTGGCACACATTATTCCTGATTTTAAACCATTCAGTGTTCCCTCGTTCTGGTCTCACAACTACTTCTTGGTCTACATACAGATTCCTTATGAGCACAATTAAATGTTCTGGAATACACGTTCTTCACAGTGTTATCCATAGCTTGTCATGATCCACACAGTGGAAAGCCTTTGCATAATCAATAAAGCACAAGTAAACATCTTTGTAGTATTCTCTGCTTTCAGCCAAGATCCATCTGATATCATCAATGATATACCTAATTCCACATTGTAGTCTGTGTCCGACTTGAATTTCTGGAAGTCCTCTG